TGTATTCATTTAATCACTGCTTGGCCCATTCTCTTCTAGGCTAATTCTCACATATTAATCTAGCCCATTTCTAATCATCTGTGTGTAGCACCCCAAGGTGCGCTTACCAGGAAGATTCTAGCCTATGTCCATCCTGGGTCGGAGCTTCATTCCGGGAGCGGGGCATGGCGTCTCTCTCAGGCGTCTGCTCCCGAGAGGAGAGCTTTCGAGTCTCTGACCTCACTTCCTCTTCCTCCCAGCGTTCTGTCCTGTTTTCTCCTCCCACCTATCCTCTAACCAATAAAATGGGCCAAGCTGGTTCCTTTATTAGCCAATGACCTTCCTCCATCAACCTTCCCTTTTCTCACTTTTTCTTTAAAAATTAAAGTCTATTATATGCAGCCCCAGCAGGCCACACATTCTCAATTCTCCTGCCTCAGCTTTCTAAGTGCTAGGATTAGCAGTGAGGGTCACTATGGTCAGGCTTTGGGTCTATGTCTCAACCTCTAAAACACTGGACAGACACTTGACTGTCCCCATACTAGGTGTTGATGACACATACAAAAAAAAGAGTATAGAATCTTGTCAATAAAGAATCTTGTTGACCACTGAATAGAAATCTCCACACTTCACTCTCTCAGTTCATGTTCTGTTGTTGTCAAGAGATGCCATGGCCATGGCAATGCTCCTTCTAACAGAAAGGATCTGACTTGGACTTGCTCACAGTTTCAGATGGTCAGTTCATGCCCATTATCATCCTGTGGAGAGCATGGTGGCACACTAGCATGCATGGCCTAGAGAAGTAGCTAAGAGTTCTACATCTGGATCTGCAGACAGCAGGAAAAGCAAGTCACTGTGCCTCAGAGTCCACCTCCAGTGATGCACTTCCTCCAACAAACCCACACCTCCTCTGAAAAGGCCATGCCTTCTAATCTTTCTCAAGTAGTGTCACTCCCTGATGACTATATGAGCCTATGGGGCCCATTCTAATTCAAACTACCACACTCATCAAAGCTTTGACACACTGTGATCAATGGGAAAAAACACAGCTCATATTGTGAATCCTACTTCCTTTTCATGATTTATTGATTTTTATTTTATGTGTATGAGCGTTTACCTGCACATATGCTTGTGCACCAGGTACACAAAGCACCATTGGAAGACAGAAGACAGTGACCTAGAACTGGAGTTTGGGATGATTGTGAGCCATGGCAAGGATGGTAGGAACCAAGACCCAGTCCTCTGCAAGAGCAGCAAGTGCTCTTAACGGCTGTACCACCTCACGGCATCGTGTTCCTACTTTTGCTGTATGTTCTGCTGTGTTTGTGTTGAGTGAGGCCTTGTAGCTCTGGGGAGTGAAACTCGGGCTTCCTGTAACCCAGAGAAGCGTGCACACTGGTGAATGCTGCCACTGACCATTTATGGGGTTGTGTGTGTGTGTGTGTGTGTGTGCGTGCATGTGCGCGTGTGCAGATGGGTAGTGCCTGTGGAGGACAGAGGTAGTCATCAAGCCTCTAGGTGACATCTTTGTCTTTCTTAGTAGTTTCCACCCTATTTTTTTTTTTGAGGCAGGTGCTCTCACTGATCCAGAGCTCGTCAATTCAGATAGTTTGGCTGTTTATGTGAACCCCAGGATCATCCTGCCTGTACCTCCCCAAGGATGAGATTACAGGTGTCTGGCTTGTTCACATGGATGCTAGGTGGTTGAACTTAGGTCGTTATGCTTGTGCAACAGGGTCCTTTACCAGCCCCTCTATGTTGGGCATTTCACATAGCACCATTTTCTCTATTTTCTTGTATATCTATATCTACTACATTGCTTTCTAAATATCTTTTCCGAATATTTGCAGCCAGGTAGACAGCATATATTTTTAGTGAGTCTAAGAGTACCTTTCAACCTCCCAGATACTGCAACTTCTTCATAACAAATTAGACCTGCTTTTGCCCTCCTTCTAGTTCATTGTTGCACTTAATTCTCACACCCATAAGTATTTACATATATACCTATCATGAGATATATAGTTGCTGTTGTTTTGAACATTGTAATCTCTTTAAGGACAAAATCAGTACAGTTACTTATTCATTCTGGTTTGTTTTAATGTCTTGGTATATAGCCCTACTTGACCTGATACTATGTAGTCCAGGCTGGTCTTGAACTTATGGCACCCCTCCTGTCTCAGCCTTTTCAAAGCTGAGATCATAGATTTGCACCTCCATGGCCAGCTTTAATAAATGCTTTTATTAAAGGCACTAGGAAATTGACGTTTGGGCCCAGTGAGTATTCACAATGCTGTCCTACTGAGCCACAGCTCAGAAGTTTGAACTTGACCTTACTCCTCTCTTTATAGAATCCAAGATTTTGATCTACCCTGAAACACACAATGCTGCCCTGGTTGGTCTCAGCTTTTGGTGACTTTCTGACTCTCCCTGGGTGCTGGGCTTACAAGGTGTGCCGTGTCTTACTCCTTCACTTTTGAAGGATAACTTAGCAGGATGCCCTGTTCTAGCCTGGTATTTTGTGTTGTTTTCTTCGCTCTCTTTCACTGATGCTATGGTTTTTGTTGTTGTTGTTGTTCATTTTGTTGTTGTTTTCTTTTAGCTGAAATTGAATGTCACTTTTCTTTTTGCTTTTCTGAGGCTAAACACTAATTCTCTTCTGGCTTCTTACAGAATTTTTCTTCATCGCTAATTTTCTTGTTTGGAGAAGATGTGCCTAGGCACAGGCGGGGACATTTATCCAGCCTGAGTTCTATGAACTTCCTCAATCTGTGTTTTGGTGTCTGGTGTTAATCTGGAAAAATATTCAGTTATAATTGTATAACTTTCTCTTCCTCCTTCCTTCAAATGTCCCCATAACAAATGTGTTGTCTGGTCATGGTTTGTCACGTGGTCTGCTCTATTTTTTTTTCTAGTCTTTTCTGCTTTGCTTTGCACTTTCAGGAATCTCTATTAAATTATCCCCAAGCTTGGAGTATCTTTCCTCAGCTGAGCTAAGTGCCTGTGCATCCCACAAAAACCATTATTCTCTCCAGCTTTAGCCTTTGAAGCCTCTAGTCTTCCATCTGTGCCATTTCCATGTCTCTGGTTACATGGCTCATGTGTTGTGGCATGATGTCTACTTTTTCCTTTGAAGTCCTTAGCATATTAATCTCTTTTGTTATAGTTCCTATTCTGGAACTGGAGTTGTAACTTAGTGGTAAAGCATTTGCCTAGTTCTTATGAAGTCCTGGGTTCAATACCTAGCACTGGAAATACACACGCTAACCAATAGGCAGGCACACTCCTGGTCCGGCATGCCAGCATCCTGATGGACCCGACACTTTGTGGTACTAATTCAGTCTCTCCAATGATACTCTCATTGCAAGACACATTGCATAAAAGAAAGCAAATAAGTGGGGCCTCCAGTAGTTAGTTGTAACTGGTCATCAGGAACATTCTAAAGTTATGAACTAGGTCCCAGCTTCTTGGAGAGTTTGTGTCCCCAGCCATGACCTGGATTTTGCCTCTCAGGCATGACCTTGGTTGAGGAGGGAATTGGATGGTTCCCTTTCCAGCTGGTGGGGGGCTAGTGGAGCTGAGCCGGTTGAGGAGTTTTAATATAAATATGAGGCTCTGGCAACATAGCTTCTCCTCACAGTGGGACTTCTTAAGAAAAACCCAGAAGACTGTGGATTTCAACATGATTCCTTTTTCTTCCTACTCGTTAGAAGTGTATTTCCTGCCAGGTCACCCACTGTCTTAGCCTGGCGGAGTTCAAGACAGGGAGTGGGCTCCTGTGAAGTCTGACCACCCCGAACTACCGGCATTCCTCAATTGCACTTTGAATTCCTTAGGGGATGCCTGCTCCTCTCCTTTTATTTCAAAGACAGTGGAGGTGAAGGAGGCAGCTAAATGGGGGAAATGCTTGCCACATAAGCTCAGGGACCTGAGTTCGTATCCTCAGGAGGCAAAATCCAGATGCAAACATGCACATTTGTAATCACAAACCACCCTCCTGTGACAGGTGGGAGCCAAAGACAGGGGGACCCCAAGAGCTTACAGGTCAGCTGCCCAGTTTATGCCATACTGGACAGTGAGAGACCTTTCCTCATACAAGGTGGATGATGAGGAACAAAATCTGAGTCTGATTTTTGACTTCCATAGCTACACTGTGCACTGTGGCAGCTGTGCACACAAACATGCTCAATCCATCTATCCATCCATCTGTCTATCATCTATCTATCTATCTATCTATCTATCTATCATCTATCTATCTATCTATCATCTATCTATCTATCTATCATCTATCATCTATCTATCTATCATCTATCTATCTATCTATCATCTATCATCTATCTATCTATCTATCTATCATCTATCTATCTATCTATCTATCTATCTATCTATCTATCTATCTATCATCTATCTATCTATCTATCTATCATCTATCATCTATCTATATATCTATCTATCTATCTATCATCTATCTATCTATCTATCATCTATCTATCTATCTATCTATCTATCTATCTATCATCCATCCATCTATTATGTGTAGTTCTCCCACTATTACTTTCCACCTTAGTTTTGAGCTGGTCTCTCACTAAACCTAAGCTCACTAGTTTGGCTAGGCTGACAATCCAACAAGTCTCAGAATCTGTCCACCTTCTCATCCCTGGGGCTACAGGTATGCTGCTATATCCAGCTTTCTGTATGGCTCCCAGAACATGGCTCCAGGAACCATGCTTCCTCCTGCTTTACTTAGTGGGATATTTCACAGCCCTCTCTATATTTTTAGTGTATATATATATACACTAAAAATATATGAAATATATTGAAGCATATGAAATACATCGATATGAAAGTTTTTTTTGTTTTTTGTTTTTTCGAGACAGGGTTTCTCTGTGGTTTTGGAGCCTGTCCTGGAACTAGCTCTTGTAGATCAGGCTAGCCTCGAACTCACAGAGATCCGCCTGCCTCTGCCTCCCGAGTGCTGGGATTAAAGGAGTGTGCCACCACCGCCCAGTGATATGAAAGTTTTTATTTTGGCTTAGGGTTCCAGAGACTTGGATGTCAATAACGGTGGGGAATACGATATGGCAGTAGAGGCAGGAAACCAAGAGATCCCATCTTACCCTCACGCAGGAAGCAGAAAAAGAGAAATGATGTGGGGTAAAGGAATAAACACCAAAAGCCTCTCCCAGTCGCATACTTCCTCCAGCAAGGCCATATCTCCTAAAGTTTCCATAATCCCCACCCCAGCCAGTGCCACCAACTGGGGACCAAGTGTTCAAACACCCGCGCCTGTGGGGAGCCTTTCTCCTTCAAACCACAGCATTCTGCTCCTGTATATGATTCCTGTTTAAGTTGTAGTGTTGTTGTTGCTGTGTTCCCAAATAACGTTGGTTTGACGACAAGTAAGGCCAGCTAGGATTCCGCTACGTAGTGAAGATCTTTGCAAATCTCTGGGTAGGTCAAATCAGTGAACTGGCAGTATTTGTAAACATCTGGAAACGAGACATAAAAATAGATTATCATTTAGCTTCATGCATATTCATGTGTCACTGCGTGTGGGGGTTCGTACAGCAGTGCATGCAACTGGTGCTTCCACGTAGCTGAGAGAGGGGATGGCAGCATTTCAGCCATTACTGGCAGCTCTTTTTCCCGTCTAATATCTTTCTTATAACTTGAAGCACAACAGCAGACAGACAGATAGATAGGGGTAACTACAAATGTCCTCACTGGTCATCACAGTTCCTGAAAGGAACGCTCCCTTCTTTCTTTATCTTTCTTTTATTTGTTTGTTTGTTTATTTATTTATTTATTTATTTATTTTTGTGGTGTTGGGAGTAAGATTTCTGCCCGGTTTGTAGTGCTCTCACGCTGTGGTGGAAAACTCTGATATGAGTATGATCCAGATTGTTCTCAGTAATTTCATGAACTGTTTATTGGCTTTGAATCAAAGTGAAAGGTGATTTTTTTTTTAATGTACCTGAGTTAGCGTTCATGGTTTGGATGTCTGTGTGTGTCTAGTTGCCCAAAATTTAAATGTTGCTTTTTTTTTCTTAGTTTCTTTCTTTCTATCTACCTTTCCTTTTTTTTTTTTTTTAATCAAAGGAAAATAAGTCAGGCGGTGGTAGCACACACCTTGAATCCCAGCACTCGGGAGGTAGAGGCAGGGGAATCTCTGTGGTTCAAGGCAAAACTGGTCCAAAGCTACAGAGAAACGTTGACTCAAAAAAACCAATAAATAAATAAATACAGTTGTGATGGCAGAGTCCTGTATCTTAGCCCTTTTGAGGTAGAAGCAGGAGAATCAGTAGTTCAAGGTGAGCCTCCACCATAGATCAAGTCTGGGGCTAGTCTTGACTATAAGAGACTCTGCCTTAAATGTTAAAAAAAAAAAGAAAGAAAAAAGAGAAAGAAACAAGAAAAAAACACAAAAAAAACTAATGATCGAACAGTATTAGATAAATTAAGAGCCTACCTAGTTCAGTCAGGTTTTAGTTTTAAAGTTTGGATCTTGTCATGAAGGAGACTAGTCATGTAAAACACAGCCCAGGCGGGCTTAGATACAGATAACCCCTGCAGAAATCAACAGCAGTCCCAGCACTGGGCTCATCCAGTGTGTGGGAAAGCATCCATCCTCCAACACTTGTGTCTGACTTCAGGGCAAGGTCCAGACTACTGAGACACCATGTTTTACCTCCACCAAACGCGAAGTGAGGAAAGACTTGAAATAGAATTCAGGCTGTGAAATAAGTCTCTGGAGTACTTACTGTTCAGTTAAGAGGCTTGCTTGCCTTTCCTTCTTTTTTATTTTATTGTATTATTTTGAAGGCATAGTGCTATGTAGTCCAGGCTAACTTCAGTCAAAGGGAGACATTTTGGTGGCATCTGTCTCCTGAATTCAGATTGTCACTGCCAGGCCTCTCTCTCGAGGTAATTCTTTTATTGTATTTTATACACTCTTAATTCATTATCTTAATTTAGAAAACTGACCAAGGAGGTAAGTTACTTCAAAAACCAAAAATCTTTCAAAGAAGAAGGTAGTTATGAGCCAAAGGGCCTCTTTAAAGGGTACCGGGTTTTTCTGCAAGCCTCTTACCTACTTCCTTTAGGACAGAAGGCGGACTGTGAGAGGATAAATGCTTTCAGGAATTGGTGCTCTACCGCCATGCAGCTGCTAATGCATATGTATGTGCCATGCAAATGTCCCCAGCACAAACACATTCTTTAGTTTGAGCCCACAACCATTCAGCAGTAAAGAACTTTCCAGATCAAACTGCTGACTCTTTTGTTTTTAATCTGTATCAAAACACCCAGCATACATCCTACTAGGCCGAGTAAATCAAGGGGAAAAGCAGCTGCAGGGAGGCAACTCTTGTCCCCCCTGGATATCAGGTGTGCGCTGCAATTTTCCGGATCCCTTGGTGAGCTCAAGTCGGTATCCGGAATCTCCAGAAACTCAACCTACGGCTGTTTGGAATGCACTTGTGATCACTTCCCAGGGGCCCTATCTTTGTAAAGGGACATTGTCATTTACCAGCCAAGGGTTTTATCCCACTCTAAAGACGCATTTCCTTTATACCCGTATCGGAATATCAAAAGACCGGTCTCAACAGAGAAGCACTGAGGTCTAGGATGGTCCTAGCTGGTTGTCTTTTCTATGCTTTTTTTCGCAAAAAAAAAAAAAATCAGATTATTGGTAAGTGTGAGAGGGAGGAGGAAGAGAGGGAAAAATGGAAGGGAAGAGATAGGAAGGGAAAGAGGAACACGTGGGGAGCAGCCTAGTCTCACTAAATGTTCTAAAGCGCAGACCTAGTTAACACACAGGACTGTGAATTGATCGTGACATTGTCTTTCATCACACTGGTTCTGCGGGGGCGCGGAAAAGTTCTGTGTCGGGGCATGAAAACTGTCAAACAAGAAACTTCCACTGTTACCGGGAGGAGACGTTAGAGAGTAGCTGGGGAGTGATTCACTCCGACATCTTTATGGCTGGGAGAAGGAACGCCGCTCTGACATTTTTTATGGGCTTGTATGCGGAAGCTAAGCATTGAGAAGAGCACGGCTGTTGGGATTAGACACGGAAAGAGAAAATGAGTTCGTAGCTGGGGATTAACCTGCATTTGTGCTCTACAGGGAAGCGGACTAGACACTCACTTGGAAGGCAGCTCTCCGGGGAAGCCATCAATCCTGAATGAGATTACTTAGGGTGAAATTGCATATCTCCAGGTGGCATCGTCTGAAATGTTCCACGGGTTTCTTTCTCCCTCCCACAGGGGTTAGACTGGCCTTAGCCAGCTGAACAGAATGCCATGGAGGAGGAGCCTAGCCTCTGGGGAAGGCCTAGCACACTCAAGACAGCCACTCATTTTCCTTGCCCTCGCTGGGCAGGAGCATGACACCAGCAGGGAGAACCCCCACTTCCCCGAGTCTTAATTCTCAGATCTAGGACCCTGGAGTTTGGGGTTTAGCCTCGGAGAGAGGAGGGCGAAGGTAAGAAGGCTAGTAGGAAGAGGGCCGGGACTTCGAAAGGGCAACAGATATAGCCCCTCCGGTACCCCTACATCTTCGTTACCTGAAACTTGGTTTATTCAAAGAGCCCAGCCAGAGGCCAGACCCAAATCTGGTTGTATAGAAACCGGCTTTAGCTGGTCTCCTCTTCTACTCCGCGTTCTCCTGGCTAAGTCTGGGGGAAAGGATGTTAAAAAGTCCGCCCAAACACTCGCCCATTTGCTCTTTTTCTTTGTTGTTTTCCTAGAGGTGAGGGGAGAAAACCCCTTTGCAGAAAGAGCGAGCAGTCGCGATTTGTACCCGTTGTGCCCCTGGACGCAGGCAATTCTTCCCAGGCATCTGGCAGCGCGGGCCCAGGCGCTTCCAGGCGCCTTAATATCCATAATTCGAGGGGGAGGCTGGGCGGCTGCTTCCTTGCCAGGTCAATGTGTTAATTAAAAGTTGGTCTGAGTTGGTCAGCACGCAGTCCCAGATGTGCATAACAGCATGCAATTAACACGTAAAGAAAATCTTTTTGAAGATAGCAGAATTGAACACCTCCCCCCTTAAAGAAACTCCACCCTACTGCCACCCCTGAACGTGAGCTAGTGCAGGCAAATACTGGAAAAGTCATTAAAAGACGTAATTAAATGTTCTTGAAGGGGTCGGGCTAGGAAAAAAAAATCCCTAAATCTATATATTTCAAAAATAAATAGCAAATTGATTTCTTTTTTTCTACAAGACGGGCAGGCTCACAGACTGGCTTCGCTCGGTTCCCACCCCATGTATATTAAACAGCCGGCGAGTGGAGGCCGAGTTGCTCGGTGACCCAGCGAGCGCAGGGAGTCCCTGGCCCCGCGAGCTGCCGCTGCCGCCGCCGGCAATTGCAGAAGGGCCTCTTGCAGCCAGATTGCTTCCCAGACCCAGGGATAATTACTGCACGCTCGCTCGCCTAGCCTTCTCCATAGCTTCAATGAGAGTAGGGAAGTGTGGATGGGGTGCGGGGTGGGGAGTGGGGGAACAGTCATTTTAGATAAATGCATTTCTATGAAAAGTAAACGTATGCGAAGACACTTAATATTTTCATAGACCCCGTAGGAGGAGCAGACCGGCTGGCACAGGCTTGAGGCTGCACCGGCCGCCTGCCCGCACATTTCCGCCTGCTCCAGCCTTTTGCAAGGGACTCTCTCGGGCTGCCAGGAGCCACTTGACGACTTTTGGCTTTTGTTGAGGTTGATTCATTGAATGGAGTGGAGGCAGGAGCCCGTCTTTAGGATCCAAGATCCGCATTCAAGATTGTTGGTCCGTCTTCTGAGTTGTTAGCTCCTGACTGCTGCGCTCTTTCCGCAACCGTCGCGCCCCCAATTGATCTAAGTTTTCCACTTCCCCCTCTTGCAGAAGAAGCCAGGCCAGGACTTGGTGTCTATTCAGGCACCATAACCTACATACAACCTGTGACCCACTTCTTGCTTCTCACCCAGGACTTTAGATGTTTAGGTTTAGGGACGGTAAGTGATCCCATCCACTACACTGCCGCGCCCCCATGGGCCTGGGAGCAGCAATTTCAACCAATTAATTCTGAATGCCTATAACCTAAAGGGTGTGCCTCGTGGACGACACCTAGAAACCTGGGTATTAAGGACACATGGACAGAGATGGGCAGAGCACAAGACAGAAAGGAGCCAGAGACAGATTCTTCGGAGAGGGCCAGATTTGTTAAGTGTGAGCTTGAAGGCAGTAGGAGTCATTATTTAAGCCTGCACAGCCTTCCTGTTAACTAGTGTCCGACTCCCCACCCCCGCCCCATCTTTTCCCCCTTTTGTAGGATGCAGAAGGTGAATAATGAAACCATTTTGCTAATAGTTTATGAGCCATGAGATTGGAAATGTATATGGGTAGACCGAAGCACCAGACTAAAATCATCTGAGACGCGCGAGACTTGGCAGAGAGAAAAACCCTCCAGGCCCCTCTTCCCAGCCTGGAGCGGAAAGACGGCTGCTTTCGCCTCTCGGCTCCATCCGAGGGCAGCGGCTTCGTTCACCCTCCTTCCAGCTCCTCAACCTCCTCTTCTCCCCAAGGGACTGGAGCGAGAAGGAGATGAATTGGGGTGATGGCAAGATAGCACGACCGGGAGATAATCGTTATCAGCAGGATTTTTCTTCCAGTGATGGGATCTACAGAGATCCATCACGCTGGGCAGCTTTCTCCCAGGCGCAAAACAATAGACGGGAATCGGGCTTTGGGGACAACCATAGGAACTCTGTTTGTATGCCCATCATATTCATCACCTCAAGGACCATTCCTCTACAGAGAACATTCAGAACTGTCTAGAACAACCATCCGACCTCCACCTCTTTCCAGCTAGTGTTCCTAGCCTTTCTTTTTGCAGATCCCATTTCAGTTTCAAAGCCTGGGATGCTAAAGAGGGTTGCAGGGGGAGCGGGGGCACCAGCGGGCGTGGTAGAGCCAGGAAAGTGGGAAAAGCGCTCCCATGGAGTGGTCGCACAGCCTAGAGATAGTCTCCTGCTAGCCCACAGCGTGGCCCAGGAAAGACCGCCCCGCTGGTGGCAGGGCGTCCCAAAGAGCAAAGGCGAGCCGGGAGGAGGAGGGTGAGGGCGCGGGTGAGGGCGGGCTCCTCTGGAAGCTGTGGACTCCAGGCCCAGATCCCAACCAGCTCAGCGAGGGCTGCGGGAAGGCCAGGACAGGTGCGTAGCAGGGCGCGCAATTCAAGCAGGGTCGGGGATCCCGCGATTCCAAGGCTCTTTCCCTTCCAGTCTGGGGGCGCCTTTAAAATCGTTCTGAACTCGGGCAAGGGCTGGTGCCAAAGGACAGTCAGGTCAGACTCCTGTTTCCTGGGGGGAAGTCGAGGCAGCGCGGCCGCGTGTCCAAAGTGCCAAGTGGGCGTGCAGGAGCATAGGCTTGGCAGGGGCTCGCGGAGAGAGCGTTCACGCACCTGCCTGCATGGAGACTTGGGCCATGGACGCCTTAGCCCTTTCCCCGTTCCCTTTGAGTCCAAGCCAGGCTGGATTCTCCGGGAAATACGTTTAGGGATCGTGAGGCGAAAACTGGCAGGACGAGCTGCTGGGAGAACGCAGTTGAGGACGTGACAGGCACCTGCAGGACAAGATTCCCAGTTAGCAATAGGCACCTAGAACCTTTGGCCTTTCCCTGTAAGGGTGGGCGGGAAGGTTTTGGGGAGAGATGAAGGATGGGAAAGGAAAGACCACCACCCTACAGGCCTCCTCGTGGAGATTCCAGCCTCCCAAGCAAGCAAGGCAAACCTTCAACCCTCTTTCCCACACCAATCATGTTGACATGTCTATTGGCCCTGCGGTCCTTCATCCCTACAGGACATTCAGCAAATCTTTGAAGCAACAATCTCGCGAGCTTACAGAGGTTGGAGTGCTTAGTATTTCCTGTCCTCAAAGATTGTATTTTTGAAGAAACAAAATGAAATTGAAAATCGAGCTAACTTATTCACCTCTGTCCATATCCCCCATACGGGCTAGAGGGCCAGAGAAAGGTGGACGCGTGGAGTGGGATTCTCAGGCAATTAGACAATTAGCCTTATTCCAGATGGCTGCTGTGAACCCTCGTGGGAAAAAGCAAGTGCCCCGAGGGCGGTTTAGGGTAGAGAGGGCTAAGTGAGGAAGAACTCCAGGTGGTATCCCGCAGCCCTAGCTGCTGCTGAAACCCTGCAAGTGAAAAGTCACCCCCTGGGACTCTCCAGCGCCCTTCCCGGGCGAGGGATCCAAGCAAACCAACCAAGAGAGGTCGCTGGCACTGGAGGTCATAGTTGAGCCCGGGAAGGGCAACCCTGCTCTCCTTACTCTTGCGACTTCTGAATTTACCCTGTTGCAATTCCTTCCCAAATGCGGGATTGCCCAAATTCCTGTCCCGGTACCTCAAGTGAACTCCCGAGTCCTGGCATTTTCCCTGACTCCCTAAAGGCCTAGGGCTCGGTTAGTCCTCGGGAAACCTCCCTCTCCCTCCTCCCTCTCTCGGCACCCGGAGGCTTCGCCCTTCCTGACTCCTGGGTGGCTGAAGGTGGGGCGAGCGAGGCAGTAGGGGACCGCGTGAAACAAAGTAACAAAACTGCCGGAAATTGTAGATACCTTAAAACCTCGACTCCTTCTTCAAACCAATCCCCTCCCAACTCCTGCCAGGAGAGGGACGAGAGGGACGTCTGGTCTTTTCCTCCAAGGTGTGTGTGTGTGTGTGTGTGTGTGTGTGTGTGTGTGTGTGCAAGGTGTGTGTGTGTGTGTGCAAGGTGTGTGTGTGTGTGTGTGTGTGTGTGTGTGTGTGTGTGTGTAGGGGAGAGGGGGAGGTCCTTTGCAAATTTGCGCTGTTCCTTTCATTTGTTAGTTAATTCCATCGAAAAGTTCGCTATTTATAGTCTACACCCCGCAGCCCGAACCCTGCGCCCGATTCCTCGGGCGGAGTGCGAGAGGTTCCCGTGGTGCCCTGTCTCGCTGATGTCCGGCGGTTTGTTTGCTTTCCCCTCTTGCAGCCGGCGACCAAGCGGACACCCTCGGGGACACCCAAAGCCACCTATTCCCGGGAGCTCGGGCAGCGACCCCCCGCACACGGGATTCTGTGAGTTGGCGCCGAACCTCCGGGTACACGCGGGAGGCGCTGTCGCTCGCCGCCGAGACCGCCGTGGGTCGCGCTGTCCTCAGCCTTTGCCACCTCCACCCCCAGTCGGGGGTTCTAGTTTGCTCTCTTCCTACTGCCCCCATTTTCCATTTTTGTGCACCCCCGCTCCCCTCTCTAGCCTGCTCTCAACTTGAAACCGAGTTTGCTTTTTGACTCTAAGAGGAGAAAGCCCAGTGGCTTCTCAGCGTGAGGCGGTGATGGGGGTGGGGAGCAAGGGATGGGTGTGCTGCGTGCTGAGGACTGGTCCCGGCCCGGGCGACGGGAAGGGGGTCGTTTGGGCTCTGAGGGCGCCTGCTGCCCGCCTCAAAAGCGCCGATCCAAGCTCTGGGAGGAGGGGACGAGGTATTTCCCGCTGGGGACGCCCCCACCCCTCCGCGTAGCTTTGGCCGCGGCGGCTCCGGAGTACCGGGCTCTGGAGCTACCCCGATTCAAGCTCGGATTGGTCTTAATCACAACCCCCCTGAATCATCTCTGAGCAGAGAAGAGGGGAAAGGAAGAAAAGCCATGGTCTGGGGCTTGTCTAAAAGAGTCAGGGTAAGGTCCCTCAACTCCAGCCAGGCACCCTGGACTCTGCCACCCCTTTTTCCAACCGTTGCGAGCAGAGCTTGCTTAAGGCGGGGCGAAACTTGGCTGAGGGTAAACCTTGACCTTGTCCTTTTTTCCCTAAGCGTCGGAGCCTCAAGCACGGTTTCTGAGGTTTGGAAACCGGCTGTTGGTGTGTAGTGGGTATTGAAAGCTCCCCGGACCCCGGGGCGAATGGAGCGCTCAGGCACGCGTGGACAGCGACGGACTCTGGGTGGCTGTGCAAGCTCAGCCGCGGCCAAACACTCTTTCCCGCAGGCGCGTGGTGGCCCGCTTGTGGCTCCTTCTTGGTGTGTCAAAGTGCCCTTCGCAGTCTTGGCGGAGGCAACATCTCGAAGGGGAGCAACGCAGGGAGGTTTGCAACTGCAAAGCATTCTAGTTTCCTATCAGTCTGGCCGAAAATGAGAGCACAGTCTGGGATTCGCATCTCTACCGTGGCCCAGTGTCCCCGCTACCAGCATCTCGGTGCAATTCGTGAGCCCCATCAATTTTCTTGATACAATGGGTCTCACTTTAGGATCCTTTTTGGGGCCTTGTCCCACTCAAAGTCGTCAAGGCTGCCTTTGAGGACAGATAGGGGAAGAGCGAAGGCTCTGCATAGACCTTAGGTGGTGCCCATGGAGTGGGCCTCTGTGCACACCAGAAGTTCCCCACTGCCTACAGAACAAGGAGATGACACGCTGGGTGTTGCCAGCCTCCTTCCCGTTCCCTCTCCCTCCAGGCTTCACACTGCCGGAACTGTCTGGTTCAGGCTGGATGGTGGGCACCCACACCTAGTCCTGATCTGCCCAGAATCTCTCTGAAGCAGGCTTCAGATGGTTTTCAGGCCCTCTGCCAAAAGCAAAAGCCAGCTTCTGCCACTATCCCCAAGCAGCTTTTGGAGCTGTGGTTAGGTACAGATCTTAGCATGCTGTCATAGCTCAAAAGTGGTAGTATTGAACCTTACTGACCAAATCTGGGAATTAGACGTCCTAGGTCATAATTTTTCTTCCTGCCTACCCTTCCCAAGATAATGAATGCCATCTCTGGGTTTGTAGGAGCTGCTGGCCCTGTGTTTAAGGTGAAAGGAAGGAGGGAGGGAGGGAGGGAGGAAGGAAGGAAGGAAGGAAAGAAGAAAGAAAGGGAGGGATAAAAGGAAGAATGGAGAAAGGAGGAGAAGTGAGAGGGAGGGAGAGGAGGGGAAAGGGAAGAAAAAGGAAAAGCCAGCTGAGAAAAGATGAAAGAAGGGCCTCTGTGAAAGGGAATGGCCTCTTGCTGCATGCTTCTCTGTGTGGACTATGAAAGGAACATAAGCCTTAGGAAGGGCAAGAGCTACCTCTAAATTAAACCTTTTCTCACCCCCATTACAAAGGCTTTCTCTATTTGGACTCAAAAAAAAATCAATGCTTAGAAGATGCTGGCCAAAGATGGGGAGATCCAGTGCTCCTCCCAGATAGAGGTTATTTTATATAACCTTTGGTATAAACTGGGATTCTTTTTTTGTTGTATGTTTTTGTTTTTCGAAACAGTGTTTTTCTGTAGCTTTGGAGCCTGTCCTAGAACGAGCTCTGTAGACCAAACTGGCTTCAAACTCACAGAGATCTGCCTGCTTCTGCCTCCCGAGTGCTGGGATTAAAGGCGTGTGCCACCTCTGCCTGTCTTAAACTTGGATTCTTGAAGTTGAATACAGTCCACAAGTTTCCTGGACTCCTCCCCTCCCCCGAGTAATTTTGGCTTGTATAAGCTTTGTGATCTGCAAGCTCCTCCAGCTTTGATGTGTGACCTTAGGACTGGGAAGCTTCCTTTGCTCAGTGAAGCAAAATAAACTTGTGCTGGAATAACTTCACACCACTGTTTAGGGCTGAAATCCTTGACTTCTGGGCTCCCTGGTGCAGGTTCAGTTCTGTCTTCTGCCACTTATCTTCAGGTGGCTTTCAGTCCCCCCATTCCAGCCTTTCCCCACTGGTCAAGGTTTTAGTGAAGAAGGTCTCTTTCAGAGTTTGAGGCCTTAAGGCCTTTCCACCAAACAGCTGGAACCAAGGAAGCAAAAGTCAGGGGAAGGAAAGAGGTGGCAGCAGGCAGGAGACTTGTTTGTTTGCAAATCAATGAATGAATGAAGAATTGTTCTTCTCTGATATGCCCCATTTTCAAGTAACTCTGGACAGTGGCAAAAAGGAGTGTCCTTTTGTAAATTCTTGAGTTCTGTGGCTTATAAGTCAGCCCCTCACAGAGGGGCTTCCAGAAACAGTGCTGTAGGATTTTCAGGCTTTTTCTACCTGACCTTTCATTATAGTTACAAACAGTGGCTACATTTTAATCTTTTTTTCTCCTTTTTTTTTTTTTCTTTTGGTAGTTACTGAAAGCCGTGGAGTGTGCGCAATGTGAACTCTCCTCTCCTCCTGACCAAGAGAATTTTATATCCCTAAAATTTCTTGCTGGGGACCACATTCCCTCTCTTCTTCAGACCCACCTTCAAGGTTTTAGCTACCAACCAGCACTATAGGAGTGTGGCTGAGCCTCACAGAGACTGAGATGACCTCAGAGTCAACCACAGTTACCGTTCTCACTCCCCCCTCTAAGTGTTGCTAGAAGAAGAAATGCATGCACCTACTTGGGTAGAATCACAAAACAATCCTTTTAACTTCCTGCTTTTCTACTCTTTCCCTGCCCCACCCCAGCACAACAGGGCCTTTCTTGGGTGAGGAACCCTGCTCTATAGCACTGGGTTATTCCCAGTTTAGATGCCCCCTTGCTTCCTGGGATCTTTGTGCTGAGAGGCGAGAGTGCACATTCCTTACTGAATTTCATTTAGTCATTAAATGGACACAATTCTAGGAAAAGAACTGAGACTCAAGATCTAGGTGGCAAGAGGGGAGAGGCGAAGGAGCTGTCCTGGACCAAGAACTCTTGTCTGTGTCTCTGCCATATCTCATTGCTGTTAGCTGGAGCACTGGGCCACTTTAATATACACCATAAGGTTATGTGTGTGGGGGGGAACAAAATTCATAGATCCTGTGACTATCTCAGCCACTCTTTGAGGTTGAGGTCTGTGTTTTGGTCAGTGACTTTCACGATCTGACAGCCAGCATCATTTACAACCTCAGCAGCTATCTGCGCCCACCTCTGTCTCAAGATTTTGACACAAAGTCAAAGGTTTCTTTTCAGGTTCTTGTTCACCTTCAACAGGTTGGTTTCAATTTCTATTTCTCAAATTTCCTTGCGCTAACACTCCACGAACCAGGTTATATTCGGTTTCTGTGGGGCAGGATGATTCATCCCACAGTTTCCTGGGTTGTTCTGGCTAAAACTGCCTCTGCCCTCATCCAAGGGAGGTGCATACTTGAACTGCAAGAAAGGAATCTTTAAAACCTAGAGTTGTTCAGATACACTCTCTCTTCCTTCTCCCTTCCTCCTCCCCTCTTCTTCCTTTTCCTGCAGTTTGAGAATAAATCTGCTCAGGTAAACATTTAAACAGACATGTTATAAAGATAAGTGTGACTTGTTATGTAGTGAATTCTTTGAGGTATTTTCAAGTTGTAGACCAAATTGCTCAGGTGACTCCAGGACACTGTGCCTTTCACAGGAACTGACAACGACACCCATTTTCAGACTCCTGAGTTCCCTTTGCACGGTGTCTTTATGGTCTTATTCTCTTATTCAGTTTGGTTTGTGATCAATTGTTTTAACCAGCACTTCTTTAAATAGCCCCCCCCCACCCAGTTTTGAAATGTGTCCAGTTTCCCTACCCATGCAGCCTAACTGATAGAAGTTTGCAGTGCAGAAAAACAAACTTCAAAATGTGTGGCTTGTTCCACAGACCTGATTGTTAAAGCTGTATTTTATAATTGCTTATAAGTTTTTCTATTTGGGAATATTGGAGACTGAGCGTAAGTCTCAGACATGCTAGGGAAACATTCAAACACTGAGCTCCATAGCAAGACCGGAAGCTGTATTGTATTGCCAACGCTCTGATAGTAAA